TGCGTTTTAAAGATGTGTAGGAGGAGTTGTTTTGTAGCAGAGGAAAGCATGATATGCCTTTTATTACTAAGGATGTTCTATGAAACATGCGTCTTCAAATGATTTATCCAGGACAGAAGATGGGTAAATGGTAAAATTTTTTTTTTTTTTTTTTGCTCTCAGGAGTTTCCTTTTAAAAAATAGTAGCATGACTGAGACCCAAAATTTGGAAAAGCTTAAATTAATGTTGCTTGAATAACTGTGGTACAGGTTCTTTGGAGCTTTGTATTGTATTATGGTCTACAATTCCATAATCAAATATTATTTCTCAAATGATGCAATATTAGATCATGCAGCCTCTCTTGCTGCAGCTTAGATACACATCTTGTAGCTCTCTGTACTGCTCTATATAACAAGTAGTTCATAAATCTCAATATAAAATACACGCTGTTTATTTAAAAGGGTATTTAAGTTTTACACTGTAGAATATCTGATATAGGCATATGTAGACCTTTGAAATTAGCAGGTAATTTAGCTTTGTGGTGAACTGAATCTATTCCCAAGTGTCATTTAAGATGCCGATGCTGCTGAATAAACATTAAATGTATAGTGAAGAATGTTGAAAATGTATTAAAATGCATAACTTTAATGAGATGGGAACTTGCATAAATGGTCAAGACCAGTGAGGAAGTACTGGGACAGTGTAACATTGAAATTGCTATATAAATAACCTACAGGAGTTTAAATGGATTTCAAAGAAATCAAGAAATTGTATTGTTTGAGGAAGCTTGTGTGTGTGTGTTAACTCAAGTGTATTACAGTACACACAAGGAGGCAGAGTTAGTTTCACATGTACCCTTAACTCTAGTGTACCATGTCTTCTGGTTGCATAGCTCTGTAACCAGAAATATTTCTTGAACACAGATTTATTTTATATGTAGTTCTAGCATTTTTACTGCTAGTTCTGAGCCTTTCTGTTGTATAGGTATGTTTCTAGGGGTTTGTCATTTAAAAGACTACATAGCAAAAATGCTGGAAGGGTGACTGATGGAAGGAAGCCTAAATTGCACAAGTGTGTACATCTTTGTCATACAGTTAGTGACTTCACGAAAAGAGCATACTGTCCTACCATATAATGAGGAACTGACTCTGGTTATAATTTACTATAAGAAAGTCTATGTGGCTGTAAATATTTTGTCTCTGGAGCTATAATTCTTGTGTTATCTCTCCAAATCTCTTCTGTCTCTATTGAGATTTGCAGATTGGATACACAGAATAAGAATTGATCTGCAATATGAAAATAAAAAGTTGTATATGGGCCATTCCTTATCACACTTGCAATGTGAAAGTAACTAGTATTAAGCTTGAGTTTGATAATAGCAAAATATTATGCAAGAGTACAATATTTTTTTCTAAAATATGTGATAAAATGATTATCAGTGATGTTGCAAATTGTGTTACTAATGGTCTCCTGATACACAGTGTTACAGAATCACAGAATCGTTTAGGTTGGAAGGGACCTCTGGAGATCATCTAGTCCAACCTCCCTGCTCAAGCAGGGTCCTCTAGAGCATATTGCCCAGGATCACATCCAGACGGGTTTTGAATATCTCCAGCGAAGGAGACTCCACCACCTCTCTGGGCAACCTGTTCC